AAAGCTAACGATGTTTCATCCATATTTATTATCTGTGACCAAAGAATTTTTTATTTTTGTCGATAATATCTGTCACATATTTTAGAAAAGATGCCTTTTTATCCTGCCACTCCACTGGTAATTGTTGCCCGACTGTTGTTCTAGTACGCACAGAAATATTTTTTCTTTTCATAAATCTGCTACAACAGTAAGGCCCTCCTTTGAAATCATTTATGTTCATTTGTTTTGCTATAAATTTTGCTTGTAAGCGAAATTTTTACAGTCGATAACTGCCATTCCCTTTCCTCGTTGCTGCTTTATATCCAGTTTGCAAGGTCGTCCTTCTAGATTCCGGCCATCCTTACAGTACCACGTTCTTTTGGCTCGTTTCTGTTGTGGCATATTTTTAAGAAGTTCTTTTTCAGTTCTCCAACGTCGAATACATGTCTCGTCCACTTCAAACTCTCGAGCTGCTGCTCTATTTCCAATTTGTTCAGCACGTGAAATTACATTAAGCTTAAAACCAGCAGTATAGCTTCTGTGCCCTTTAGGTGCCATTTTCAAAAATTTTCCGCTCCCTTCTTACTTAAAAACTATTCAACGAGTACTTGTTCCCAAACTGATGGGATCTGTATCTGGCAGAATGCCAAGAAAAATCGATTCATGCTGAAGTGGAAATACGTCAGAGTTCGTTATTGCGAGGTGGGTGGAGTCGTGTCCGCTTTTGAAAAAAATTGTAGAAAAGGCAGGGGTGGGGAGAGGATGGGTCCTGGAAGATTCATCGAATGGCAGAGGAGAGAGACTATTCAAACTGATGAGAATGTTGATTTGAAAGGGGGAAGAATGTTCTTGTTCTGAGATCCCGTTTGGGGTGAATAAGGCATGTAGGTCCGTTCAAGGGAAAGAATGTAAACAAAATAACGTTCACAAAAAGCAACTGAGTGGTCTTTTGTGTGGGAACAGCACTAGACTATGTACAATGACAAGGGCATCCAAACTATGTACAATGACCATCATAGGAAATATTATTTTTAGTGCACCTAAATGCCACATGTGTAGAAATGCCGCACCTGCTGAAAATTTAAGTTTTAAACACGTAAACGGCACAGCATTTCTTCCGGAAATCATGGTATGTAAAATATAGTTTTTTATGTTGTGTTACTGTGAATAAAAACATTTAAAAAGTAAAAGTTTGTTTTATGAATGATGCAAAATAACTGATGAAAAGAACCCACAATCATCAGTCGCAACAATTCTGTGACACAGTTCAATTTTGTCAGCATTATAATTTTGTATGGTTTGTATTTATATAGCAGTCCAAGTAAAAATGCCTTTTACCCAGTTAACAGCTGCATGATGATTCGCTTCTTTCTTCCTTCTGCCATGCAATTTCTGATGAGCAATGTTAGATCTCTTTCTCCAAACTATGAGCCATATGTCAGTTGATAGAAAATTCTTTCCCAGTATTTAACAAATTAGAGAGAAAAAAAAAAAAAAAAAAAAAAAAAAAAAAAAAAAAACTCTAGTAATAGAAGCATTTTTTTAAAGTTTATAGCTTGAAACCATACCAGAAAAGGAATTTCAACATTTTATGCTTTTCTGTCATTTTTTATCTTTCTTGAGATAATTGCATTTTTTTAAAGTTCTTTATTAATTATAAATCCTTATTTAAGTAAATTGCACAATTCTATTTGGACATTCCCAGTTTAAATATAGTTTTTATCTGGCTGCAATTACAAAAAGCTTTGAAATGTTATAACATTTTATCCTTTTCTTCGTATAGGTTTAAGTTGTTTTGCTCAGCATTTCAATAAGTTAAGACACAAAAATTTTAAAAATACTTTTTTCAAATTTACGCTTCTATCTTGCAGAGAGGCTACTTCATGATTACAAGCATGATCAGTGATTTTCTTACATTTTTTTCAGACTACAGTTAATACATCCGTTCCATTCAAAGATTCTTAATATATGGCAATGTTTAGGAGCATTTTATGAATTTCTTTTATAACTCTCTGTGAACATAATGGGTCAATCCCAAAGGTAAGATATAGAACATAGAAACCCTAAAAGATAGGATACATCCACCTCTTATTAGCTGGCATTTGAGAAGAAATCCTCACAATCATTTACAGTGCCTCTAGAGGATTGTTTAACAAGTGGTAGAAATGAGTTTAATAAATAGTGTTTTTCTATTAGTATACATTTTTTTTTTTTTTGTTTGTTTGTTTGTTTCCTGGAATTTTGAATGTAATGAGTGCCTGAGTTTATTAACCAGTGAATTTAATAAGCACTAAGCACTAAATGGCCAGGAATAATAAATATAGGTAATCTCAAGAATGTTGTGGTATTGATTTCAAACAATCTTTACACGAAGATAGATAAACCTAAAATGCTTAAAAGTGTGAAAATATATAAAAATTCTATAATAATAATAATTTCATTAACTTTGCCACTAATCGACCACTACTATTCTATAAAATAGAAGAAGAAATCATATTTTTTGTGGTATCTATCAATTTATGTATGATTATAAAAAGTACATTGAAAAAGAGTTAATTCCTGATTTAGAGATAGTTAAACTATTAATGATAATTTCCCTTAAATTAGGAATATTGTTCAACTCAGGGCAAATCTTAATTCAATTTTTGATATAACTTGCATTCTAAAAAGCTATTTTTTAATATACCAATTATTTAGCATATATGCAATAACAATATTATTTTAAAAGTATACTTTAAAAGCACTGTCTTACCAAAAGCAGCCAAAACAATAAAAACAATTTTGCCTACATCAGATGTTTCTTACACAACATACAGGCTTACTTTCAGCAACTACTCATATTTATTTGATCTACATTGTCTTCGCTTTTGAAATCAGATGATTTGGCATGCGTTCTCTCATAATTTTTTCAAAAGTTTGAAAATTCTAAATTTCAGCTCGTGAATTGAAATTTACATAATTTGTAAAGTACAATAACTTTAGAGCAACATTGTGCTATGCACTTAGTCTGACAGCTACCAACCCTTCACCTTGTTTGCATATGTCATCTTATTTTTATAGTTTTTAAATATTACTTTTTTATGAAAACAACTACTTTGTGTATCAATCAACTAACAGCTTCCCAACTTCCTAACTTTAGCTTGCATGGATCATTTGTAGTTATCCCTGTAATGATAAAACTTTTTCTATAAAAAGTTTGTGGTATTAAGCTTTAAAATTCTAATTACATGAGGTTCATAACTATAATTTGCTTGTAAAATATGTTGTCTGAAACAGTTTTTTTGATAAGCTAGATCTGAGTAAGCAGCATTCAGTATTCAACGAGAAACAATTTTTTTTTTTTTTTTCTTTAGCCTTTCTCCATCTATCTTTTCCGTTTTTCCTTTAAAAACATAAGGAAAAATAATTATACTTTTTTTTTGGCTTTTTAGGGCAATTTAAGACATTTCCTGTATTTGAAATAAAATGGATTTAAGGAATTTCAATTATAAATAGTAGGAGTTTTCAATGTTTTTGACATATGCAGTTATAAGGATATTCCAGTTCAGTTCTATAAATCATCATTTAAGGCAGTCCATTCTTAGAAGTTTTACTTCTTTCCATTGCATCATTGTGTCTGTCTTAACCCTAGTGCTTTTCTCAGAAATAAAGTTTTGCAAACAGTGTCATGACCAGAGCGATTGATCCAAACTGTTGAGGCAAGATTGACTTCAGTTTCAAACTACTGAGTTCTCACTTCAAGTTTTGATTTCAGTAAGTACAATTTTATCAGCAAACTGATAGCTATCAGTTGTTAAAAATCATATAATAAGATATTAATTGTCAAATAAGAATGAATCATAACTTGATTTTTCATTATCATTCCTAAAGTGAAGGTAACAAATATAACTCCTCCAAGACGGATGTCGGAGAACTGAATTAACTTCTTTTCCCATGCAATAAAAATTTAAGTTTTTCTCCATATAGCAAGATTTGCTTTTATTCATACCTACTTCCAATAAAATTTCTCATCTGAAATAAATATTTTTGAATGAAAGGCTCTCAACGACCATCTGGGATAACATGGACAGAGGCTGATTATTATCCCCAAAACTAGGGTGCAAATTTAACTCCCATTTAAAGATTGTATATGTGTTGTCTTTCTCCCTCATTGCAAGTGAAATATAGGTCATCCCTTTGATAAACTTTGGACAATATTCTTGATGAAGAGACAGCTGGCAAATGGCTGATGGTTTTGGCTGTACTTCCCAACTAATGCTTTGTGTGTGTGGGTGCAGTTGCAAGTATCAGCAAGTGTTGGGTTATTATGGCGGGAGAGGAAGGGATATCAAAATGCTACTGAAAGTTTGCTGCAGTATCTAATATATTAATATTCCTCTATTTTGTAAACCAAAGAATTGTGGAATTTGCCACAAGAAAAGGACAAATAAACAATAGGATATGCAACAAATAAACAACGGATACACAGCGATTTGTTTTTGCTCAAAAAAGCATCAGAGAATTGCACAAACATGGCAGTGTGCACTGATCAAAACAGACTGCTGCTGCACTTAGCTGGGTTGCCATATAAATACATTTTGCAGACATCATGGTTTGCCACATAACTGTTTTGGTGACATACTGCTTTACCTTCTGAATGCTTTTTCACAACTTTTTGGTGGGATGCAGTTAATTGGAAAGTACAGAATTTTTATCAGTGCAACAGGCATTGTATTTTTTTATGCAAATAAATTAAAATATTTAAGTTTATTTCATTTGAGCTGCATTCAAATAAATATATTATTATTCTAGTTAATCATATAAGGACCCTCTTAGCATTAACATTATTTATCAAATTACAATTTCAGCATCATTTGATATCACAGCATGAGCTGAGTAAGCATAGAGTTCTCCCATCTGTTTCAAGCAATGAATTTTTATGTGAGAGAAAGGGTTCCAGCAAAATCTAATCGTATACATACAGTAAAAAAAAATTGCAAAACTCTCTAATTTAACTCTTTAATAATCAAAGATATAAATACCTGTTCCAGGCATTCCTTTGATGAGAAAGTAGTCTTCTGCCATAAGTGCTTTCAGTACAGTTTTCTGTTGAACTTTATTAAGAGATTTCAAAATTGGACGTCCTACTAATACAACCTGTTTAGGCAATGAACTTACGAACTGTGGCTCTTGTTTTTGAATAATAAATTTTCTTAATTTTGTTGCTTGATTATCATCAGCCATCAAATGTACTAAATTATTACGGATATAGGCAGTTGAACTGGAAGATATTTGCTTATCAATGCGAAACACACAATCTTTGTAGCGGGCCACAGTATTTAGATCTCTGTAAACAGAAATAATAATTTTTCTTTTAAATAGAGAAAATAATTAGCTAATTTATCAGAAAAAAATAGTATTTAAGAAAATTTTAAAACTTATTTTGCTATTTAATTTGATGAAAGATTAATTTCATTGACAGTAAATTATTAGTCAGATATACTTGATATTAATATTTTTCTCTCTTTAATTTTAACCGCTTCCCTTACAAATTAAAAAAAAAAAAATTGCAAAAAATCATCACATTTTTTTATTTTATTATTAAATACAACAAAACAAAACAAATCAAAATATGTAGGTTTTAAGTTGAATTTTTAATTTTTTGAAGGTGTAAAAGCATTTATTTTTAATATTAGTTTACTATCCCGAGTTACCTCGGGCAAACGGAAAAAAGTTAAATATTAATCTTTGTATGATAGTTTTTGAAACAAGGGACAACACAGAGTGATGCCGACATTCTACACTGGTATCTGGTCTCTTTTCTTACTGGCTTACCTCTGGAATCTCTTTCACGGAAACACAGAGTACACTGTCTTGTTGGATTTGATTTTTTTTTTCCACCTCTTCATAATTATTATCTGAAAAATCATTGCTTTCGCTATCTTGCATCATCGCCATCATTTTATTTTTTTTCAACGCATGAATCCTTCTTTATACATTACTAATCCACAAGCCAACGTATACAATACAATAGGGAAACACGTGACCAGTTCCTCCAAAAGAATCACACAACCAACAAAATTTGGCAAATTGCCAATCAAAGCTGAATATTTCCTTTCATTTCCTCCAGACCGAATAAAACCGTGATAAAAGAAATCGTACTAACAAATTCTGCTTCGCCCGAGTTTTCTCGGGATAATAATTAACTGCAATATATACGAACCCGAGATAACTCGGGATAATCAGGCAAGTGGTTAAACATCTAAGTAAAAACTAAGTATCTTCACAAGGGAATCATAAAAATATTTACTGAAGAAAATTTATAACTTACTACAGTTTTTATATAACTGGAACCTACTTTACACAATATAATAATCTCCCAAATATGTTTAACCCTCTGATTGCAGAATCTGAGAATAGTACAATCACTGTTTATCATGAATATATGCGGAGTACTAAAATTTTCATACATTAATGTGGCAAACTGTTTCTCCATCAATTTACAATTTCATTTGGGGGGAACTGGTGTTTCCATTTTTAAGAATTTTGCACCTGCAGTCAGAGGCTAGTCAAATATCATAGCTTTAATTTACAGTAAAACATTTCTCAAAAGCATAACAAGAAATTTATCAATTATAGCAACTCTTGAATAAAAAAACCACTAAAATGGTAATAAATGGCTCAAAGTGGCTAGATTTTATTTACCTATCCTGTTGCATAATTATGGCAACCTTTCCTTGTACTCTTATTTATTCCTGAATTCAAAATTTTTTCAATCCAGTGTTTCATGATTTGCACATGAGCATTGAGATTTTTCTCACATTTCATGCATCCTTATGTTTGTAAAGGAATTATGCAATCTCATGAGTTAAAAATTATGTTTTTTTTTCTGCCACTGGATGGAAAAAATGCAAAACTATTTTTAAATAAATAGCTGAATAACTTTAAAACTACTGCAGACATCTAATAAATTGTCTTCGTACATAAAAGTGAAAATCTCCTGCAATTTTTTTTTATCTTAATAATAATAATAATAATAATAAAAAGGGTCACAGTATAGACCTTTCCTAAAAGTGAAATCTTCATCTTTACTCTAACATGCAGTTGCATTACGAAATTCAATATAAGTGGATAACTGAATTTAAGACTTTTCTGAAGTCATTCGAAAAAAGTAACTTATGAGAAGTGTCTTTGAAATGTACACGGATAAAGGCCTAATAGCTTCAAAGTATAAATGCTTAGTTAACATGAATGAGAGAAAATTTGTGGAATGTAAAGTGTTACCATTAATAAATTTTAAATTTATTTAGCTCCTACTTTGGCAAATTTACATTGTTCAAAATGTATAGCACATAACAATTTCAAGAAGATTTGCTATGTAAGCTGTTTCAGTGTATTATCCTATATTTTAAAACAGTAGAGTACTTGCTCGAGTTTTGGCAAGTGATTATTTGCTGAAAAATAAATAAATAATACTTCTTTTTAAATGGATCATTATTGGAGATGGGAAATGGATACTATGCAATAATGTTAAATTAAAAAGGTTACGGAGTAAGAAAAAAGAATCTCCATTAGTAACATTGAAAGGGAACTTTTGTACAAACAGACTACAAAGGAATTGTATACAATGAATTATTGTCACCAAATCAGACTATAAATTTGGAAAAATACTGTTTCCAAATGGCAGCTTTAAAACCAGAAATAGAAGCAAAGTGCCAAGAACTGTCCACTTGTTGAGTTGTTATCTTCCATCATTACAATACTTGACTCCCCATTTCAGTGCATGTCACAAAGACTTGGATGTTATGGCTGCTGGTTTGAATATTGTTCTGTGTCACCCCCCCCCACTAACTAGACATTGCCCCTTTGAATTTTTAATCCTTTCAGGTCACTTCAAAATTCTTTGAACAACCTGTTCATTTCTTTGGACACTGTCAAACAGCACCTCAATAACTTTTTTTATGAATAAATGTAATGACTTTGCTAGAAAAAGAATTTTCCAGTTGCTGGAGAAATGGGGGAAAAAAAAAATCGTAGAACAAAATACTGCTTACGTGATTTCATGAAATTTTTTTTGTTATGTACTTAAAAAAAAAAAAAAAAAAACTGCAGTACTTTCTGGATGACCTAATATATATATATATATATATATGTAACATATAACAATAATTTTAAAATGAAATCAAAAGGTTCATTATATGATTTTCCACACAATGAAAGAATATTACCTTTCAACTGCCACTTCTACAAAATATTCATGAATTTTTACTATGTAGCCCATAGCAATAGCAACTTCATCAGGGTTTTCTTGATTACTGATTGCCACATAATCACCTTCTTTTAGACCAAAAATATTAAAACTAGATTTTTCTGTACTATTTGATGATCGATGAAAAGTATGCACAAATAAACCATCTTCAGTTTCTTGTCTAACTGACTGATTCCTTGCCAAACAAACACAACTAAGACACATTCCTTGCCTTTCTCTGCAAATAAAATATATTATATTCAATAAATTGGTAATATTCAATAACGTTTGGTAACATTATCAGTTGATGAACATTTTCAAAAGTATGCAGTAAAATGAACTTGAGGGCAGGGCATTAGATACTTTTGTACATTTAATGTATGCCTTTTCTTTTTTCGTTTTAATTGGGCAGAATTTATTGCTTGAGAAGTCAATTTTTGACTGCAAATGAAACGATTTCACGCACAAATTACAACATTACTGTGGATGTGAGGAAATTTTAAATTCATCAAAATTTTTTCGGGTAGCATATTTATTCTGTTACATACGTATTTGTTTATTTTTTATATAGTAACCTTTCATTTAAAATTTAAGATTGTTATTGCATGTTTATATGAAATTTCAATAAAGTAAGTAATATAATTTTTACTCTGTAAGACTGGTTTAATCTCATAAATAACATCCAGAAGTTTTCAGATATCTATTACACATTCTCAAAAAATTTTGAGATATTTTTTATTCGAGTAAACATGTACCAAAACAATTTCTGTAGAAAAATATACTGCCAACTTGATATTTTGAGCAATAAAGCATATATACTTTCATCATAAGTTCATTTTGAGTATGGAAAAAATTTTCTAAATGTAAGAAATTTATCTCTTAAGTTCATTATTTCAATAATTAAAGAAAGAAATAGAAAGAAAGAATTTTTAAAACTTTTTATTGATAATATTTACTTTGGAGGGATGCTGTTATAAGAGATATAAACAACACATTTAATTTAATGGAGGTCAATACTTTTTTTGTGGAAAACTGTTTGGCACATGTTATCCTACAATGGAGGGGGCAAAAAAAAAAAGAAAAAAAAAATCCCTCTTTGTGTGTGTGTGAATGTGAGTGTCTGCTTCTACTTCTCTGCATTTAAACTATGATGTCCCTAAAAACTTAACTGAATTAATAATATTAAACTGAATTAATAATTACTTAAACTACTGAAATTACTGAATTAATAAATTACTTAAACTGAATTAATAATATTTAGTGAATAAAATAATCAGATCTCTGCATAGCTTTTATATTTACTAAAAATGATACATTAAATGATTCAAATTAAATCTTTACCGGCTTACAGCATCTTCATCCCAAAAAGCTTTGACTTCAGCATTATTTGATGACTCTAATTGCAATAAATATGACCATTTCTTAAAATATTCTAAATCATTCTTGTTAAGATGACTTGTAAATATTGGAACTAGATTCTTCATGGCATGGGAAGCTTCAAAAGTATTAACTCCAGAAAATGCACTAAAAGAATCAGAGGGGGAAAAAATATTTTAAGAATTCTGAGTATCCTGAATTTTTAATTATATATTAAAGCATAAAAAAAATTCAGTTGCATATATATAATAAAGCTTTACTTATTATAAATTTATATTAATATCAAAATGATTAACCCTTTCCATCATAACAAACATTAAAAGCAGGGTAGGCAAGCCTCTTCAATAGGAAAAATCCAGCTGGAAGAAATAGGTTTTTTCAATGTAAGTGGAAGAAACTAATTTTAAACTTATATAATATTATTATATATCTATATTTTATTCATACATAGCAGTTATATTACTAATATAATATTTTATTTTTCTATAAAATTTGATTAGCCTCATTTGTATGCTTGCAATAACATTTTTTGGTAACATATATACATGTATTTTTATGTACTTGCTATGAAATGTTTCCCTTTCTAAATTTAGATGGATTCTGAAACTGATTTTCAGTCATATCTATTATAAATAGCAAAATAACATAATTATTTAGGAAGAATAAAGAACAAAACTGAATAAAAGAAAATTTTGATAATAAAATTGAATCTGCATCATTTCAAAAACAATATAATAAAACAAACATTCTTTGCTTTTAAAATTTTAAGTAGATAAATTCAAAAGAAAATCCATCTACTCTAATCTTGCTAGATTTTAATCTCAACCACATCACACAGTTTATATGAATTTTCAGAAATGACATATATCTACCATACAAAATTTTGAAAATGCTATGGGAGGCAGGGCTGATATATTTTTTCTATGGTGGAAAAAAATTGGCTGGAAGAAATATATTTATTTACCTCATTCATATCAATATTATATTTTTACTGCATTTATATGCAACACTATTATGTTAGTAATTAATTTAAATATTTTCATTACATGCATATTTGGCCTTATGTGTATACTATAATTAAACTTTCCTAGATAATATGTATGTTTGTATGTAAAATATAAAAAATACGATGGCTTTACTCTTTGCGAACCAGCAACCTTTAATTAATTTTCTGCAATTTAGAATCTCTTCAATAGACTAGTACCTTCTAGAATTTCCTAGCCTATTACATAAACGCTACTATAAATACTGAGTGCGTGCCATTTTGCAGACAGAAGCTCGCCTCTCCTCCTGTGCTATATATCTCGTTGCTGCTTAATCTATCTTTCCTTTTGTTAGAATTAGTTATGACGCAGAAAGTTAAAATTTAATCGTATTTAGTTTAAATCACTATTGAATGTGTAATTTGGAGAATTTCATATGAAGTATAGCATGAGCGACAGTGAAAATTGAGTGACAGTGAAAAGCTATGGAATAAAGATGTGCACTTAACAGCTAAATTATCTTGCCTCTTCCTTTTGGATTTTCGCCTTACCACTCTGCAAACGAAATGCCTGAACTTTGATGCCAAGCTTCATCACGAATGCCGAAATATCCCATGTATATACTTTATTACTCCAGAAATGAAACCTGTTTTCACAACGGCTGGAGCTTTTTTTGTTAAAAGCTTACAGTTAAAGGAGAAAGGATGAACAACTGAATGAAGAAAAGAAGTAAAACAAAATATGACATACATTATAGACATGTTTAAAACCTTAAAATACTTCTAAATTACTAGTTCAATATACACATTTAAAAATAATTAGTTCAAATATAAAATCTTTAACTGTAACAATTATTTTCTCATTAAGGCAACATGTTTAAAAGGAAAAAATTCAATTAAATATTGCAACAATAAAATAAATAAGAATTCTATCTCGCTGTTTTCCAGATTTTTCGGAATAAATTATTTGCTTTGCATTTTATTGCAGAAGAAACAAAACATATTTTTAAATATATTGTTATTATTATATTCTTTTATTTATATTCTACACTGTTACATCATTTTTACTATTTCCTTCAGTTCCTTCCATTTTCCTCCCACTGTCCTGGAAGAAACATAGCCTTAATTAAAAGTCACTGCAATTAACTTTTCTCCAAGCTCAAAATGTAATTTTTAGCATGACATAATGCCTTGCTACCAAGGTCAAAATAAGTATGCAAGCATGTAAGTTCTTCTTATGATCATATAGTAGGCTAGAATACAATGTATAATCTATAAATACTTTTCCTTCTGCTTTATAATTATATTAGAGAGGGAGAGAGAAAGGAAATAGCATTACATAGGAATTTTACTTTAGTTCTTATTTATAGTTTTTACCTTGCCATCTTAAAATATTATCACTTAGGGAGTAAGACTGCAGAGAAGCAGCTTCAATACAAAGGCACAATGATCACATATGGTTTTCCATGTAACATACATTCCAAACTTGATGATAGCAGACTTATGAAGAGTAGTAATCAAGGCAAATGGGTTTCTACAAAATAGCAGTATTTCTACATTTTTACTGCAAAACCATTTAATTAGGTTTTTGTTTTGTTTTGTTTGATTCTTTGTAAAACTGCCTAATTTATTTACTTAAGTCCACTTTTCAAATAATTTGGAGCAAGAGGTCCTACAACTAGTCATTAATTCAAAATTAGTTCACTAATTTATATCTAGTTGTAATATATTATGTGATGTATTAAGTGTTTTATTTTATTTGGCTGTTTTATGCATTATTTAGTATAACAACATTATTGTAAATAGTTCTTTGCATTGCTTGAACTTATCAGTATTTTATTTCAGCATACAATGTAATTTACTACTTATGGAGCAATAATTGTTTTTATTATTGTATACAAATGCATGTCTGGCCATGTATATATCAGGACTACAAATATATTTCTGCCCTTTTATATATATATTAAAAAAATTGTGAAGGAATAATACACTATGTTTTATTCAAAGTATTGTCTATTGCTTGCCACCACTTTTTTCTATCTTTTCGTCAGTATATGGATACTGTGTTGGAAGAAACTTCATTTATCTAGGCTATCCGTAAATGAATCTAACTTTTATATCCTCCCTTGATATGAAGCATTGCTCAGACAGGTCATGTGCCATCAATCAAAATGAGTAATAATCAAAAAGAGCAACATCTGGTGAATACAATGGGAGGGGGGGGGAATTTCTCCTATGAGTGTTTCTGAGTGGGTTTTGACTGGCGCCGCAACATGTAGATGAGCATTATCATGCAGGAGGATAATATTTTCATGTCTAAAATAGAAGTGGGTGCATTTTTTTTTTTTTTTTTTTTTTTCTTTTTCTTTTTCTGATTTATGTTTTTTCGCGGGGTAAAAAAATGGTTATTTTTTTTTTTGACATTTAACTTCATCTTGGTGTGCCCAGTATTGCATGAGAAATAATTATTTTTTATTTCATATATTTGTTCATGTGTTTAATTATTTTATAAAATTAACTTTAATATTTTGTTAATATTCATATTTATATTTAAATTTCTTTATATTTAAATTTCTTTATGCTGAATGGCAACTAGTTCTAGTTCTGATTCATGATTGCTAGGTTTTGGTTTCAAAACGTTGCTCGTAGCGTCGCATTTCGATAGCTGGAAAATAAAATGCAATAACTTAGCTATTTGTTTATAATTCATGCTGTTACTAGTCATAAATTAATTTTAAACATTAGTAGCCAAGGCTACATCGTGGTGACCCTGATTAATTTTCGAAATGTCAACAAATGACTCTTCTGAAACTGCTATGAAAGATACGATACAGTCACCGGAGCTTCATAAGGTGAGTGTGAAAATACCTCCTTTTTGGATTGATAAACCGGAAATATGGTTTTTTCAAGTTGAAGCTCAGTTCAAACTTAGAAATATCGTTTCAGAAGAAACGAAATTTAATTATTTAGTTTCACAGCTTGAACCTAAGTTCGTCGAAAATATTTGGGACATTGTAACGAACGATAGTGCCACAAAATATTCGGATGCTAAAATTAGGTTATTACATTTATTCAAAGAAAGTGAAAATGTACGGATTAAACGTTTGATTACTGGTATCGAACTTGGAGACATGAAACCAAGCCAACGTTTGCAGAAGTTGAGATCAGTTGCTACTACAGATGTGTCTGAAAATCTAATCAAAACTTTATGGCTGGAGAAGCTACCTGACTCCATAAAAAATATATTATTAGTTAGTGATGAAGATGTAACCAAGTTAGCGTCTATGGCAGATAAAATTAGTGATATGAATCGGAAACCAGAAGTATTTAGTACTAATGCTCCTTCTGTTCCCGCAAATGATTTGTTGCAAAGAATTACCTTTCTTGAACAAAAAATTGATCAAGTAACCATTCGCTCAAGACGAAGGGACTCGGATTTACGTAATTCACGTTCACGATCTCGAAGCCAACCTCGTAAACGATATGACCCTACTGGCAAATTTTGTTTTTATATCACTTTCGTTTTGGAGCAAAATTCATTCTAGAGAAATGCAAGCCTCCGTGTGCTTGGGTAAAAAACGATTTCAAAAACCAGGAAAACTCGAATCTGCAGTAGGTTCAGCGGCAAACGCTGCTGCAGAAAATATGAAGGATTGTCGCAAATTTCGTTTATTCGTTCGTGACCGAAGATCAAATTTGCACTTTCTTATTGATAGCGGAGCTGACGTAAGCATAATTCCTGCTACTTCACAGAATAAATGTAAAACTGAATATAAACTGTATGCAGCTAATGGCACAGATATTTCCACTTATGGCATAAAAACGCTAACTCTTGATTTGGGATTACGTCGTGATTTTCAGTTTCCATTCATAATTGCTGATGTCACAAAAGGTATTTTAGGAGCTGACTTTCTTCACAAATATAAATTGCTTGTCGATATAAATAAGAAAAAATTAATTGATGGCGTAACACAGCTTTGTGTCCAGTGTGATGTCGCTGCTATTTCCAGTGATTACTCAGTAACCACATTAAATAAATCCATAAAAATTTTCGATTTACTGTCGAAATATCCCGAAATTTCTAAACCTAACCTTTTTCCTACACAAATTAAACATGGTGTTACACATTTTATTTCGACTGTTGGTCAACCCGTTTATTCAAAGG